GTGCTCTGAGAACAGCTGGTCGTACTGTTAAAGACTGCGGCAAAGAAGGCATTAAGTACCTCAGCCTTTTCCTCAGTCTTTTTTACTATGTTTCTCCCTCCCATCCAATAAAGGATGGGGATTCGTCTTAGCTCCCCTTTTGTTGCTAATGGATTTATAGAAACTTTTTTGTCTTTCACTGCAGTAGTCAAATTAAGTTGTAGTTGGGCTTGGGCCTTCTAATTTTCTCCCCGCACAACCTCACAACATCCTTGTAGTCCTCCTGAGTGGCCTGCTCATTCTTCCAGAGATCAAACTCTCCTTTTTTCCCTGACTTCCAGTCAAAGCTGTCTGTTCAGCCAGACTGGTCTTCTTCCCTGACAACTAGTCTTTCGGTGCATGAGGATGGCCTGCTCCTGCACCTTTAATATTTCCTTCTTGAAGAATATCCAGACCTCCTGGACTCCTTTGCCCTTCAGGACTGCCTCCTAAGGGACTCAGTCAACCAGGCCCCGAAATAGGCCTAAGTCTGCCCTCCGGAAGTTCAAGACATCAGTTCTGCTGACCCCTCTCCGTACTTCTCCAAGAACCAAAAATCCTGGAAGTGTTCAAGGCCAGGCTGGATGCGGCTTTAAGCAACCTGGTGTAGCGGGTGTCCCTGCCCATGGCAGAGGGGTTGGAACTAGATGATCTCTGAGGTCCCTTCCAACCATAACCATTCTGTGATTCTATGATCACTGTGCCCAAGATATCACCCACAAGTCCTTCTCTGTTTACAAACAACAGGTCCAGAGGGGCACCTTCCTTTGTTGGCTCCCTCATCAACTGTGTCAGGAAGTTCTTGCACACACTCCAGGAACCTCCTAGACTGTTTCCTCTCTGCTGTATTGTATTTCCAGCAGAACTCTGGTAAGCTGAAGTCCCCCACAAGAACAAGGGCTAGCGATTGTGAGACTTCTCCCAGCTCCTTATAAAATGTTTCATTGCCACTTCATCCTCGTTGAGTGGTTTATAACAGACTCCTACCATGATTATCTGCCTTGTTGGCCTTCCCCCTGGAACACAAGCACTCTTGCCCACAAACACTCAACCCTATTGCCACTATCATTAAGCTCTGGACAATGAAAACACTCTCAACATACAGGGCTACCCTACCACCTCTCCTTCCTTGCCTATCCCTTCTGAAGAGTTTACAGCCATCCACTGCAGCACTCCAGTGTGCAAGCCATCCCACCACGTTTCTGTGATGGCAACTATATCATAGTTTTCCTGCTGCACAAGGGCTTCCAGCTCCTCCTGTTTGTTGCCCATGCTGCATGCACTGGTGTAGATGCACTTCAGTTGGGCTATTGATCCTGACACCTTTTTTGGGGCAGAAGCCTTAATTCCTATGTGACCACTCTCAGGAGCTTCCGTAGTTTCTAACACATCAACAATCTTTACGTCTCTGCTGTCGTGTGCATCTCCATCCCTTAAGATGACTAAGGTGCTGCACTTGTTAGTACAGGGACATTTCAAACATGCTCATCATGGAGCAGACTGAAGGACCTCACTAGCACATCATCCCTCAAATATTGGTGTAATGCCCCCAGGCTTATCTCTAGTGAGCCTGGTTTTATCTCCTTCTTCCTCCAGATCTTGTGTAAAGCTCTTTTAACAAGCCCTGCCAACTCCTCATGTCACTTAACTAGTTGATTTCCTCAGGTGCAATTGACAGGCCACAGACTGTATCTGCCACATGAAACTCTCCCATTTGGTCTGCAGGTCTTCTCTATGAGACGGGGAAAGGTGCTTGAGAACAGACCCATGCTCTGTCACCACGAAGGTACAAGAGAGTAGCAGTAGCTACTCTGGTAGCTGGGCTGCCTTGTGCAGTCTTCCCCCTTCATCAGCAGAAGCAGCAGCCCAGAACTCCAGAACAGAAAGTTCCAGTCCTATAGCAGACATTGATATGGTCTGCCTTTATCAAGTAGTCATGGAGACCAAGTTTAGCAGCTGCAAACAGATTACATGGCTGTATGTTTGCATGAAATCCAAAACTCATCTTCAGGAGCCAAAGATGAGGAGTCAGTGAAACCACAGGCTATGCTCGGGTATTTATCTCCCCTCTCTCACAAGCATGTGGAAGGTTAATACAGTAACTCCATACTTCGAACATTGCCTCAAAACATTGTTCTTCTCTTTGTTGTTTCCGAACAAAACCAAAAAGAATTGCTCTTGCAAAAAGGTGTAGCAGCACAGCTGGAAGAAAAATTAATCTATATTACTATTAGCTTTCTAGAAAGATATTATTTTACTACTGGAGAGTATGTTTTGACCCTATATTGATCTTTCCAAGCGTTAAAATACTGTATGAGTATGGGTAGAGATAAAGGAAAAGATTTCCTGAAGAGCTAACAGATTTCTCAGATATGACTGTCAAACTTTTAGCATACTAGCAAGGCTAAACAAAGCCTGCAACATCTTAAGATACAATGATTTTAAGCTCTGCCACTGCTGTTATTCCTTTTAATAGACTATAAACATTTGTCATAATACAAAATGAAATTTATAATCTGCTCTTCCTTTCACAATGTTAGTAATTCTTTCCTTGCACAACATATCGTTACAAACATTTCTGTCTGCTAATGAACATATAAGCTGCAGTTATATGAACTCTCTGTGTGAAAAGAAAAGACAATATGATGATAGAAGGTTTTTTTGTTTTCCCTTTTCTTTTGGAGCACAATACAAACTCCAGAGAGGTCAACTGAATTTTGTCTTAAGCATAACAGCTCCTGTTGCGCAGAAATCTAAAAGGATGAAAAAATCCCAAACATTAATTATACAAACCTTCTAACACTGAAAACTAGCTAATCATTTATGGGTACATTGTAAAAAGTTAGTAAAACAAAGCACACATTAGCTTACTTAATTTCAGGAGTAATGATTTCTGCTGCTAAACTGTCTGAAGGCTCTTGTCTTCCCAGAGGCATCAATCCTGGTTTAGGAAAAGTAAAGAATTCAGTAAGCAGACTTGCAACTTCCTTTAAAAGACCAGAAATAAACATTGTTGTCAAAGTTTACAGTTTCAGAGTAATGATAGACAATGGGAAATGACACAAAGTCACACTACAACAAGAGAGACAGACAAGCATAATTTCATTTGGAGAAAAATTATTATTTTTATCTTCCTTCTGATGAAGTAATTTTGAGGTGTATTTTCTGCTGATTAGCTTATCTAAGAACTACAAAGCTGTGCAACATCACACAGAAATAAATTGCAACATATGAAACATCATATACACGAGAACTTAGTATTTCTCTAAAGAAAATTACTTAACTACACAGAAATCAGAAATACGTTATAAAAATATCACACTGGGGAGGGAGACTAATATTAACGATTGATTGAAATAGCATTTGAAGTTTTCTAATGCTTACAAAGTTATAAGTAGCTGAAGCAGCTTTTCACTGCTGATCTTAGAGAAGCTTAAATTTATCCTGTGCTAAACAAAAGTGCATTCAATGCTCTCCAGAGAAGTCCTGTAAACTTTAGAAAAGATACATTTAATCTCCTTATTTGTCCTTTACCTGTAGTGGTGAGTTGACCCTCCTGAGCTTGTACACATCTAAGCTCTTCAATAGTTTCTTTCAAAGAGTCTCTTTCTGTTCTTAATCTCTGAATAATTGGAAAGAGAGTGAATATCAGTCTTGGCACTACAAAGACATCTTTAACTGTACACAAGTTGTAGAAAGGCATAGCCATCAACACTTTAAAAAGAATTTAACGCAACTCTAGAGATTATTTTTAAATTAAGGCATGTCAGTCTATTTCATAACAGAATAAACATAAATATTATAAATTCCACGTGAACAGTGTTTTCTTGAGAAAGGTTACTGCTCTGTATTACACTTCTGAGGGTAAAAGTATCAGGGCATAAGCTTACAAAATCAAGACACTAGTGACACAAAGTTCTGACAACGGGTAGGAAACAGCATCCACTGGCACTACACAGCCATCCTCCTTTTTGCCCCTCATCAGGGCTGATTCCAAGGGAAAGGGAAGTGAATTAAGAGACCATAGACTTTTACCCTCACTAAGAAGGTTCAGACAGGAGTGAAATAAAAAACAGGTGAGTACACAGTCAACATAACAAACAAACTGCATTAATTTCATTCCATTTGTCTTTCAACAGTGAACGTGTGAGCAGCATTTCCATATTCTCTTCCTCCTGTTTGTCAAATGGCCTTGTTATTCACCAGCACCCTAGCTAGGGAAGAAAACAAGTTGCTTGATGCTCAGTCCAAAGGGAACTGAAGAACAGGACTGGACCACCTTGGGATCTAGACAGATGGGCTCTTCAGTAGCCTCAGGTAAATACTCTACCAATTTGGCACAAGTGCCCTTTTGGCTGAAAATGAGAATCTACAGGTAGCATCAAGTTTTTGTCCAGAAGGTTGGCAAGATTCAAAAATGAAAGGAAAAAAAATGGCAACTATGTAAAGACCAACACTGTAGTTTGCTCCAGAATCAGACACGTCCACTATTACTAAAAGACACACCTCAGCTCTGTGTATGTATGGAGTTGTATCAGCTGACAGCTCCTTGCGTTTCATCCTATTAACAGTTTGATTCAAATATATTTCATTTTTCAGCCCAAATAGATCCAAGGACTTGGAATCACTTTGGCAAAGAACATTTTGTTGAGATGTGTCAGAGGCTTCTGCTGTATTTCTGAATCTTGCAAGGTGAACTCTGGTGCAACTGTCAGAACAATCTGAATAAGGTGTACATTCTGTTAGCACTGGAAGCAATTTCACAGACCCCACAGGTGAAAAAACTGGTTTTACCATAAATACTATAGAAGGAGAGCCACACAGAGGAGTGCTCAAACTCAGCTGCTGAAAGCAAGGATGTTGCAGACTCCTACCATCAGTCAGAAAACACCAAGTTGATTAATCAAATGCCAGAATACTTTAGTTAATAGAAAACACTGCAGGGCTTTACTTGTACACTGCGGACAAAGTCAACTCATCAAATTATCTTGGTACTTTTCATAGAACACATCAGAGGTAAAATTCCAAGCTATAGTTGAAGATATCAAACAAGCTACCACATTTCATCAAAACATAAAGACAAAGACAAAATCAATTTCAGTAACTGTCTCCAAATTATAACTAAGTAGTTTGTGACCCGTGGTGAGCAATGTTACCAATACATATGTGTCAACAGGGAATAGAAAGAGTAGGTAACACAGGTAGTAATCACTAATCCAAGTGTTGAGAGACTTCAGCTGTCATCTGCTTCTCACAGACGCATAACCATTCAAAAAAATGTATTAAAAACAACATCCACCCCTAAAAAAAGCTGTTTGCTGGGGGTAAAGCAGAAAACTATATGACAATGGCCTGCAATTCAGATCCTTTGTGCAAGATGAAATGGTCCACCAAGCAATGGGTAAGCCACAGACACAACCTTACCATTGTCAAACGTAATATAATTAGAAAAACAAACTTTAAATAAAGAGCATAAAAGAAAGCCAAAGCATGGTACAAATACAGTTACTATGGGCATTTCAGTCTGAACTGAAGGGCAGATGGAAGCAATATCAAGGACAAGTGTTCACAATAGTTTGAAAATTTAATAAAATACAGAAATCAGACTTACGAACAGAAAATAACTGAAAACTTTCCGTTCAAATGCTATTCAAGTGCAGGGACTGGAAATTCTGGAAAGAATTGTGAAGGAAATATGACTATGGAGGGAAAAGCCTACAGAGGTTCTGACTGATGGATGGATAGGCTTATACTTGAAACAAGCCTAATAAATTGCTAACTCAAAGTGCTGGCCTTGGTTTGAGGTACTGTGAGGCACCTGCATATACATTTCTAAGAAACAAGCGGAAACAAACAGGTGTGAAACAATAGTGCACAAAAGAAGTTTGAAGGATCAGTCTTGGCAAGAGACAACAGAGCAACTGATTGCAGAATCACTAGCAGCAAGTGACAGAGAGGAAGGGAACAGACTGGTATTCATCCTCTATGTTCCATGTCAGCAGTACAAGATAGATCAACAAGGAGCTGTCATAAAAGGCAAGATCGCCACAAAGGACATGTCCCTTTACATGACTCCTAAGCCTCTTGCTGTAGTAGTCATGACTCCACAAAGAGAAACACGCTGATGGTACCTCAAAGGATGCTTCAGAAAAAATGCAACAGGAGTTCAGTTCTAGAATGATACTGCACAAACCCTACTTTAAGCAGTTTTTCAGAATACATTACAATTATCCTGGGTGTTTACTAACCTTCTCATGGAAAATGGTGAAGAAACAACTACAGATTCGAAATATGAAGGCTTTTCCTCTTAAAAGTGGGTTGCATATGTTTTTGTACAGTCACTGTATTCCATGCTGTACAGTTCTTAGGTTTAAAAAGGCTCTTGTACACAAACACTAGAAAATTTTAAGCGAAAAAAGAGTTCCTAATTTAAAAAGCTTGCTGTAAACAGCTAACTATAATTACCACATCCCTGTGTTACAAAGGACACAAAGTTGCTACTGCTTCTATCAAAAAAAAAAACACCTTGGCACTTACATCTTTTTCTTTTTGGAGGCTGTCTACTTTTTCTTTCAGTCGTTTGCATTCATAATCTAATTTATCAGCTTTCTTGGATTCTTCAGATAACCTGTTTTGTAGTTCAACTGCCTGTGAGAACAAGAACCAATAATTTGTCTGCAAATATTAATATTAAAACAAAATACACAAGACAAAGTAGCCAATTACCATACACCACGAGTGATGTTGCAAACAAGTTAAATAGTTACCTCTAGGACATACTAAAAACTGCTTTCATCAGCTGTTCTGTGTTTCAGCAAAACAAACACCATTTAAATATTAAGCCTTAGCACAAGCAAAAGAAGCGAAAACTGATGTATTTTCAGTACATCTGAAAACAAGAATTTAAGCCTAAGCACGGTTTTACAGAAAAAAAGCTAAGTAATTCTATGGATCAAAGAGCATAGGGAAAATAGAAAAATCCTTCTGCTTTCTGAGAAGCCTAGGAAAGAAAAAACTCTGAAGAGAGCAAATTATCTACACCTTTTGTAACTCTATTTCACAAGCTTCATTCAGAATTCAACCACCAGCTTAAGCAGTCAGACAACGTTTCTTGACCTGAGATTCTCCTAATAATTTTTAATACACTAACACAAAGATTCAGCCACAGGCTCTAAAACAGTTTTCTTTACTTCAGAAAAGTCCCATGTATACATTGAACTACAGATCAGTAAAGAGCTTTTAAAATTAAACGAGCAGAAATCTGAAAGCTGAGCAGAAACAATCAGTGAACAGGAGGCAAATCAGCGACGTCTTGTCTTTTCAAAATTCTCAGCCATTACTGGCAAAGGATCATTCCCAGAATGTTAGTAAAGCTCATAATGCAGAGAGCATGGAAGCAAGTAAGCTGAATAAAGACTGACCTGTGAACACAAAAGCTGAATGAAGACTCAGCTAAAGATGTACAGCTTCTGAAGCAATTCATAAGAAGGCTTTTTCATGGCTTTTAGATTACAGAGAAAGCAATTAATTTAAGTTGTGAAGCAAAGCAGTAGCCACACCTACATTAAGACTGCCTAGTGGTTCTAATTACCTTTTATTTTCATTGAGTACAGGTCGAGCAAAATAATGACCAGACCTAAAAATCTGCATGGTCTTAAGTCTCAGAGAAGGGCTTTGCTGTTGTCGTTCTTAAATTAAAGGTTGCAAAAAAAAGCACAGGCCTGCCATTTCTGAGATTATCAGATTAAAAAAAATATATAAAAATGTTAGTTACGAAAATATTTCATTTCTCAGATGTGACATCCATCACTGGGGCTATCAGCATAACTGCAAGTATAAAAAATATAAAATGCAGGCCTTCCCCTGTGATTGTGCTCTCACTTGCAAAATAGGTATATTTTTCACCTCAAATGGAAACTAATGCATTAATGTTTCTAATCACTCATGCTATGGTAATGGTACGTAGAAAAACATAGCAGAAAACAAATTGTCTTGAATCAGGACTTAAGAGTGTGTAGAAAGATACACAGCTACACGGTAATGCAGAAGATAAAAAAAATAATGAACTGCCATCACATTTACTGAGCATTATCTGGCATGTGGAATGAGTAAAGCAGGAATCTTGCAGCAAAGGAAAGCAAGACATACTGTTAAATCAGAATGTACATGCACAAAGGGGCTGAATTAAAATTACAAAAAATAATCCTGGGATCTTCACATTTCAATTCTTCATGCTGCAACAAAATATTTCCTAGAAAACGTTTGTGCTTGCTTTCAGAAAAGTGAACAAAAGCTCTTAAATAAGTAAATGCTGTTAGATCTCACAGCACAATATACCACCACTAGCCTCATCTCACAGAAACTGCTGAAGGGGGTGAAGATTCAATTTCCTTGCAGATCTCTATAGGAATTTGAACCAAGCACTTTCATTTGCACAGCACAGAGCTTCTATGCCGAAGAAGTAACTCCTCTGATGGCATCATTGTGAGTAGGGCTGGATCCCTCACACACCAGACATTCCACTAAAGGGGCACACTAGTGCTCAGCAGTGACATAACATCAGAATCCTTATACCTGGATTAATCCTTATAGCACAATTTAGGATTCCCAGAAATTAATTTTGTGACAGCTCATGATTCACAGGCAGGTCTCAAAACGAGTCCAGCCTTACAGACACTGAGGGCAAACACACTGTGTGCGCGTTTTGAGGCACTGTGGTTAGGTGAAGAAAATTCATGTCTGTCACGAGACACCTGAGGTTTACTCCAGCCTCAGCCAGTGGCACAGTTTTGTACAAATCAACAGCTCCTCAGACATGAAATCCTACCCATAAAACACAGGGAATGATGAAGAAAAGGAGGAGTACTTTTGCAGCACTAAAAGATGGGATTGCCTCTTCCAAAATCCTCATTATTGTTGAAATAAGAATGATCAGATGCAGATGTCAAGGTTACACAACTATATCACAGACTCAGCTGTCCAAAGGAGCAAAATATTTGTTGCCAGTAAACACCATACTACTCGTGTGAAAGGCGACTGCTTTCTACATTTACTTTTCCTTTTGATTGCCTGTTATTTCAGCACTTTTCCTGTCCAAGTTCTTTTTTCTGGTGGAACCGTTTGGACTGTATTTACAATTAGTCCATACAGGCCAAAGCTAGTTGTCTTAATAACTAAGACAGCCAGGTGCAGGGCAAAAGCTGTCAAGTCTTAGGGACACACACTGCTCCTAGGCTGGCAATGTTGTTAGTGGTTGTTTCTGTATTTTTATTGTGCTGTAAGCTGACATAAAGCGACTCCTGTGCCATGACCATTCCAGCTTATGAGCAGGCAGAAATAAATAGCAGGCACTACTACTTTAATGAAGCAGGCTCTGTCTGGCCCTGTAACAAGTATCCCGGGCTGATGTCATGTCAACACAGTGTAGAAGCAGAGAGAAGATTAAGCACATCTTCCACCTTTACAGAAACAAGATCACATGGCACTTTGTTAAGCAGGAGGGGATAAACAGATGTCTTTCACTCCAGAGTGTGCTGGTGACACATTTTGTGTACTCTGCTGCATGCATATAAACAACAGGGATGATACGCATCCTTCTCTCTTCACAACTGGACAAATTTGGATGTATCAGACAAAGCAGAACCTTAAAGAAAAGATGTTACTTAACCACAGGAATAACTTATTTCAGCTGTAGTGTGTTCCTCACTGATGGAAATTTCTAAGTGAAAAGTGGACACTTTCTGAAAGAAGAGGCTCTAATTCAAGTTCCACTACTGAATATGAATTAGGAATTAATTTGAGAAAAAACCTTAGCATCCGTTGATTTTTTTAAAAAGTAAGGAATATTGCTTATTGGCAAACTAATGTAAACTTGAAATAATGATAACAGTTGCAGGAAAGGAGGACAAAAGTAGCACCTGTAAAACATGGAAGTCTTGTGAACACAAGGAGCTGTTAAGTTAGTATCTTTTTCACTTTGAGGTATTAGCCATGTTATGAAGAGAAAGCATTGAGCAATATGAGAACGATAATGACGTCTGTTCTTACCTGTCTCTTGTATGTTTCCAGCTGACTGCGTGCTGCATTGGCCTTCCTTAGCTCTTCTTCCAGGCTCACAGTATTTTGCATGTACATTGTATTCTTCTCTTCTAAAAGTTTCACTTGCCGTCGCAAATCACCCAGGTCTTCCAATTTCTTTTTGTATGATTCTACCTGGCTTTCTAGCTTTGCTACTTTATCAGAAGAATGCCTAGAGGGACAGATTTGTATCAAATTTGTATTATGAAAACTAGCAGAATAAAATGTCCTGAAGCTTCCTTAGTATTTTGTCTTAATGCAGAAGACATTCTGAGACATCATGGGGAGAACAAGAGAGCAATCATATACTTCTATTACTAATTTTTTCACTTTAAATTGTCTGCTTTCCTCCCATTACTATTTGTCAACTTGAAGAGCTGCTGATGGAGATACTTCTGGACATTATCCCTCTTCCTAACACAGCTGCCTTATCTGCTTCCAATATTAAAATAATAGTTAAAGCATCTTCACTCCCACCCATTTCCTTTCAATTCTAAATTGATCCTCAGTTCTTCATTTTGCAAGGAAAAGAATAAAATTTTCTACCCTTCAATTTGTTTTAATGGTAGCCGGAACAAAATCATAAAGATCCATCTCCTGGGCAGCATATACTCAGTGACCACTGAGTATACAGTGGTATACTGTACTTCTGAGTATACAGAAGTACCACAACAGATTTAGAGCCTGATTCGTTCTGAAAAAAGTGAAATACCAGGCTCCGTTCACAACATTTCAGAGTTCTTTCAATCCACCTGGTGCACTGTTAGGACAGCAATAGCCCTCATCCCCAACTACCCACACCCTCGCTACTATTACTATCCCCAGATTAATTTCAGAACCAACTGATTTACAGACTCAAATTCCTGTGAAATCTGGAGAATCCTCCATTGAATTGATGGTCCATTTATGGGACACTGGAGCAAGCCAAATCTCCCAATGACGTGCAGAGCCTCTCTCTGAGGCAAGGAATTACTCTTTGAAACCATGCCACCCACAGAGTTTAGGCAATTGTGCAGCATGATGGCTCCTTCCTGATATTAATGACAGAGGAGGTAAAGACAGACAGCTTTGGTAGAAAGCTGCTGGTGAATTAGAAAAGGCAGTAATAAAGTCTTGCTAGACTTGCCAGAAAGAGTGATACAGGTGGGTGGTGGATAACTGTTCTGAATAACCTATGGCAGCAAGTCGTCACCACTGAAGGATTATGTTCCACAGTAAAAGGGGCTGCCCCACCCTATGAACCCCTAGCACACTTTGGGTGCTAAAATCCAGTGGAAGAGAAAGCTGTAACAGATGTTGCTCATATTAGCATTATATGATGAATCAAAAGTGCCACCCAAAGTCCAAATAATGCAAATCCACGAAAGGAAAAGGTCCAGTTCCCTCATGAGAACAGATGCCCAAGTCATAATGAAGGTGAGTACAGAATACTCAAGAGACCAGTTAGTGACTTGATATGACCATAAGATGGTGTAGAATTGGTAAGGTTACTAATAGTTATTACGTACATAATAAATAACTAATTTACTTAAGCAGAATTATGTGGTGGTCTGTGTGCTTAACCAGAGGATCCAAAAGAACCCTGGCATTGAGAAAGTGTTTATATTTAATATTAAAATTATTTAAACAAAAGCGAATGAAGACTAAGTACACAAATTATATGGATTAAAAGTTAATAGTCAAAAAAGGGTTAATGGAACAGAGTTTACCTGAGTACATCTATCTCATCCTTCAAAGACTGAGCCTCCTCTGCCAATGTAGTAAGCTCTTCTGTTTGTTGTCTCAGTTCAGCAATTTCCTTCTCTAGTTCTTCACAGCGTATTCGATAATCGTCTTTGGCAGCTTCTAATCTGTAGAAATGAAGTAAAACAGAAAACAATTTCTCAGCTTGCACCACAGTTACCTTTCCTCATCATCATCCTCTCTAAAAACACATGAAATGGCCTTCTGGTGAAGCAAAGGAGAATAGCAGCCCAATGTGCTTATTCAACAACATGGAAACAGACTGACTTTTTTGATGTTCCTAATTTGACATCGGTCTTTCTATATGGAAGATCACAAGGCAATATATGTTTTCAGAAAGACAAATCCTGAGTTTTTTCTATCGTAGTAAGTTTTGACAATGTAAGCTCAAGCAGAAATTTCACCTTTTTTCATCTTGGAGCACACAGAGTTCAAACACGACATCTGTATTCTAAGATTTTGTCCAGCTGTTCAACACCTATACGCCTTCAACAATATTGACCTCATTGTCAGATGTTCTAAATGCTGCAAAGTGCTCACCAAGGTGGTTTATTTATTTATTTATTTGCTTATAAAGAACATGTGCCTGCCCAGTACCTCCAAAGAACCAAGTCATACCTTGAGTTACCTAGTTAGCACATAAGAACTCAGATCAAAGTTTCTGGAACATGAATTCCTATTGTGACTTTTGATCTGAAATTAAAATAAAAACAATCCAGAAAGAGAGATATGGGCATGGAGGGGAAAAAAAAAATTATTCTATCCATTAATTCAAGGAGTCCCAAAAGAATCTACAAGACTGGAGACAACACATAGTCAGAAGGTCATCTAAACAATGTACAACAAAGATTTGGATCTTGATAGACCAGAACTGTCAAAGCACATAAAGAAGTAAGACTAGGAGAAAAACTGCTGTACTACACTAGGCACCGGTTACGCTGCACGAATGTCCTGTTTGGTCAGGTAGAGCTGGAGAAAGAACACACATAAATTGCCACTAGAAACAACATGTTATGAAGGCAGGGGAAGGAGGTGAAGGGGGTAGGGAAATGAGTCTCACAGGTGAGACAAGGGTTTAGAAAGACCTTCAGAACCTGGAACTAGAGTAACAGGCAGCACAGATATTGCATATGGGGAGAAAACCTGTTCAAACAGGAACTGACAGACTCAAGTAGGAATTGTTCCAGAGCCTGGAGATGATTAAGGAGAGATGAAAGTGGACAGACAGACATCACTACATTATTCCTTTACATGGCCAATGTATAGGAAGAAGAGAACCAGACACAAGCTGCTGTGAGAGAGAAACACTGAACATTTGTCAGGAAACTGAAAGGAGAGAGTGTCTGAACATGCAGGAAAGACTTAGCAAGAGGAAGTGGAAAAACGGCAAAACAGGCAAAAAAGGAAAGTTACATCGCAGCTGACATAAGAATTATAAAAAGGCAACCAGAAGAGGACAGAAAGAGAAGAAAAAATGGCAGTGTAAAGAAATACTATAGTTTCATTCACAAAGAATAGGGAAAGCACCGCAACAGGAATGAAAAGATGATGGTGAGGTTGACCAGTTTTCTTCAGCAGAATAGGCTTATACAGCCTGAAAGCAACAGTCGAAAGGACCAGGAAGGATATTTAAAGAACCATATTTCCACATGTTGACGAAATGCAAATTGAAGAGCAGAGCTCACTTGCAGATAATCTCCATCTTTTAGATACGAAACAATTCATTTTGAAACTCAGAGAAGGATACACTTTGCTGTAAAACAATACCACCTGGCACCACCCATAGCAAACTTTCAGCTAGGAATTTCTACACTTTAAAAGTACAATTAGAATAATATACATACAGGAAAGTATGCTACTTCTAATTCTCACTGATTTTGAAAAACATGGGTGAAATGATTGCACAAACAATTCAAAATAACTTCACAGAGTAAAGAGTGTCAAGTATGCAGCATTTCAGCATTAGGAAATCATGAGGGTTTTTTTAGGCTGGAGCGTGTAAATAGATAAAGCATAAAACGTAGAACACTAAAAACTTCACTATTGTGGTTATACCATCCATTATACTAACTCATAATTGCCAGCAGAACCAGAATCATATAAGTCATGTGTGTTGCCAGCTACAAACAAATAATTTAATCAAGCATAGCTTTTCTACCTGAATGTTTCCTCTTGGAGTTGTTCTAGTTGTGTCTGCAGCTGCAAGTGCCTACGACCTGCAGGGCTGTTGGGATCTTCAATAGAATCAGATTGATTTAAACGGTCCATCAAAATCTGGTTCTCAGCAAGCAAGCTGCTCTTCTCCTCCTGGAGGGCTGCAACCTGTTGTAATAAAAGCATAAACTGGAAAAACTGAGCTATCCAGACATAGAGAGCAAATTTTTTTTGTGTGTGCACATAATAGAGTATCAACACAATTCACACATGGGAACACACAGGCTTCAATAATCACATTTCACAAGAATATACTGTAACATCAATAGGTAATCCATTGCTATATGACGTAACCAACATATTGCAACATCACAGGCAGATTTACCACACAATTACAAATAGCTATGTTTTCTGTACGTTGCACAAACATCTAAAAAAGTCTTAGTTATCACAGAAGATAACTTCATTATAATAAAATCTTCATAATTCCCCAAAACCAAATAAAACTAGCTGTCAACATTAAGCTTTTGAAACTGATTTCCAAAAGAAACAATGCTTATTGATCGCACAGAATATCCCAGTCTAGATATCAAAGGGATGGCTACACCCCTCCTAGATTTTTTTTTTAATCCAGTGGCCTATTGCAAGCAGACTTGAAACAGGAACACAGTCCCAAAGATGACACAGTTTCTGTCGATGCTGTGAAAACAGGCAGTAAAGCAAAATACCCCAAGTGCTGCAACTCAAACAGCAGCTGAAGGATGAGTTCACATATTATTAAGTAGTATAGAATTAACATGCAGGAGGAGGAGAAGAGAGAGAATGTGAACATCTCAATAGAAAGAAACGCTTCAGTAACAGCTTGAATCAAATACACCAAAATCAACCATGACACAGAAGTCAGCTTCATTAATTCTAACAGTTACTGAACTGCTTGGCAAAAGCCTGAATTATACTCCGAATAGGGTTTCAATGACATTGCCTTTTGGGGCCCCTACTTTACACTCCTCATGTCTTCCGGTACGCTTCAATATAAAGTAAGACTCAGTAAATTCTTACACAGCTGATAAACTACAGTAACTTCTGACTGGGATTTAACTCTTAACTGAAACTGTTACAGCAGCATAACCTCTATCAGTTCTGTAATGCGAGAGTTGAACCACACAGCTCAACCCCTTCCCACCTGAATGAAAAAAAGTTGCGTTAATATGGACCATAACTTAATCCTGTCAACACTGCATCGAGATAAGAAAACAATGAAATTCGCTCTGCTAGCACAAGCAAAGCAAAATAATTCCTGTGCAATTTTCATCTCCCTTTTAAAGATGATGTTTCCACACTATACTTCTTGTTTTCAGCTGCCTAAAAATCAACATATCTCTTTCCCACTTCAAAATTAATACGTACCACATAGAAAACCTACCTGCATATCTAACTCATGACATCTCTGGGCAATTTCTTCCTTTGTTGCTAGTGCTTCATTCAGTTCTTCTGTAGTTTTCTTCAGCTACCAGAAACAACAAACATTAATAGTTTCCTCACTCTGAGGTGTCTGAAAGCATTCTGAACCACATGATTGTAAAATTATTTTTACATTTAGGTAGTTCATTACATTTTTTGAAAACTCAGGCAATTCAGCTCTTATAAAGAAACAAAGCAGCAGCTATGATTACCGTTTAGTTTGTGTGACAGTAAAAAGTAAACATACCTAAAAGTAATATTTGGTCTTATAAAAATACATCACAGTTATCACATCTATTCTATTAACTGAGTCAAAAAAATCCTGAAGACCTTAGGTCTGATGAACTCATCAACTCTGTACAATGAAAAAATTGTCAATACCACTTTTCTTTACTAAAGCAAAGAATGCATAACTTTAGTTCTCAACCTACATTTCAAATATAGAAAGGACTGGAAGTTGGAATACAGGGAATGGACAATTAGGGTAAAATCTCTCTTACTGCACAATAGGAACACAACTAACATGGCGAGGTGCAGAAGGGCACTGAAGTGTGTAAACAGTGGGACATACTCAGATATACTTCCCTTCAAAGGCTTTATATTCAAAGATAAGTAACTTGCAAGTTTGCATATGAATGCAGTTAAGATAAAAAACAGCTACAAGAAAATTTGCCTGATAAAACAGGTGCATGTATATTACGTATATAGAGCTGTAGATATGTATTATTATATAAGATGAATTTTAAATGGGCTTTCTCAAACAGCATCATTGTATCTTATTTTTCAAGTTTATTTCTCAAGGGCCTCTTGACATACAAAAACTAATTCCATCTGCCATAATTTAAATACTTCTGCAAAGAAAGCATGATGAAGGAACACAAGGTACACTACTGTACTATACTTCTTCAATTAGAAAAAAACCTGAGGAAGCAGGACTGTGTTAGCATGAAGTTAAGCTAGTATAAAAACAATTGAATTTGCATGTTCTTTAAATATATCAGTCAGGGAAGGATTCTCTTTGAAAACTTCTCTTGTAACAGTTCTCAGGACTGCTTTAAGGATTTTTGAGCCACATCTAGAGGTTGTTTTTAAACTGATTTTGGAGGCAGACAAAAAAGTTTTATTCAAATACTACACGTTTTTATCCTTCTTTATCAATATCCAAAGATTTGCACCAGTCTACAGTTTTGCAATACTACGTCATACACCTAAACTTGTTTTCCAAACTGAGTTTCTCTCTCCTTTAAATACCCAAAATGGGTAATCTCAATTTATAAACCAAAAGGACTTGAAATACTGAAGTTTAGTTTTCCACTCCTTGTTTGAATTTCCCACAAAACCCTTTCATGATTAAATTAAGACAGATTTCTTAATAAAGCAAAACGAAAGGGCACTGATGTGCTACGATTGAAGGAAAAGAAACATCTAGTCTTAGATACCTGCCGATCAAGGTCAACGTAAGCATCATTTCCGACAGAGACTGGAGACTCTTTACTCATCAACTGCAATTAGATTACACGGGATTAGAAAAAGCAAGGATTTATTTTTATATTAAAATCTAAGTTTCAATGAAGTACCAAGCTGATTTTAACTTCTGGGAGCTTCAATCTTTGTTTGGAATTTAACTTCATTTTTAGATATTACATATTCAGAAACAATGACAGAAAGAAATTTTCAGAATTTATAACACTTAAAGCTCTGTAGAAGAAACCTTACATTCTCTATTTTCTTCCAAAAATGCACATTCTTTACCTATGATGAAACTTACAGTACAGTCTGCTAAGCATTTTACTGAAGTGGCATTGGAACGATGGTAGCTAGCAACACATCGTGCAAGACCTGCCTTTAACTGTTCTCCTCCAGTGGTTTTCATTTTTTGATCACCTGGAAGTTCACGTCAATTTATTTATTTATTTATTTAACTAAAGCTGGGGACATATCTATCACAGCTAACAAAAATGGTCAAAATTCCTGCTCTGGAGTTGTCTGCAATTTGCAAATTCAGAAAGAAAGTCTGCAGAGAGCATTCCTGAAACCAGTATTACAATTCCTTGTATACTAACCTAGCTTATTGCACGAATGGCTAGTAGTGGGTTTAGTCTAGAAAACATTACTTTCAGCCAGGACTTTTTCTTAAAAAAAAAAAAAAAGCAGCAAGCCCTCCAAATTGACTGATGTGCATACTAAAAGATAAAGAGCTGGTAAGACGGTAAGTTTTCTTTCAGTAACCCACTGATGGGCTACACAGGTAATTAAAAGTGGAATCAAATCCAACAGAAGTTGCAGCCCGAAGACCTCCTTCCACCCACAAACAGTAAACATATTAAAAAAGTTATTACTGAAAGTTGTAAGACACAAAAAGGAACAGTCTTCCAAATAAGAAATATGTTGCAACTAACTCAAAAGGCAGCATTAAAGAACCACACTGATGGTCTCTGTTATCCTGTCCAAACACAAAATGTTTTATGAGTTATCCAATGTCACAATTCATGGAAGTTACAATCAAAAAGGCTCTATCCTGACTAAACTCAGGACATGATTTCTTTCCTAAGGCCTCCTGTCCAGCCTGGTTACTCTCTCTAGAAACAGGGCTCCCTTTATTCCTTCCAGAAATCAGTGCTTTTGCATTACTTTTCATTGGCAAAGTTCCTTGCATACACAGCACAGGGCTTTCATTTCTTCTCCATCCTTTCTGTTTATACCACTGTGTTCAGGAGAAAAATCTCTGTTTAACATTTACATCATTCAAATATTTATACGCTTCCATTTCTCTCCCTTTTCCCATCTCCTTAATTGGGATTTAGCCACATACTACATGTTTAAATTCACTTATCTGTCCTCAACAGTCCTCCCTAGCCCTTGACGATGTTTGTTGCTAAGTGCTGAATTCCTTCCACTTTGCCTACATCTCGACAATGACAAATAACTCTGAAACGAAGCATTCCACGAAGCCCAGATTCTCTGTAACAGCAATTAGAAAGTCCCCAGCCTCAGAGCTGCCTCCTGAAACATGAAGTCACTTGTCTTTTTTCATTACCATATATAGCGGCATTAAAAACTTGTATTTGATTTAGGGCCATGCTTTCTAAGAAGATTATAGTTTTGCCATTCAAAAAAGTACTTCCAGCCTCTCTGCTCACTGACATTTATACATGCTTCAATTACTCCATTTCATGAGCTACTGTTTAAATGCCTTTCCAGATGACTAACAGGGACAACCACATTAACCAAATATTGAAGTCTTCTCCCTGCTCTATATCCCACAACACTGTTCACAAACACACTTCAGACACTGGGCGAGTTCCACCCCTTAAGCCAGTGCGTTCCAGCTGCGAGGTCGCAGGCAGCATGCGGCCTGCAAGGGTGTACAACAACATGTCTCTGACAGCCACCACCCCTTTCTGGCCACAATACAACTTCAGAAACTGCGCTTCACATGCCCGCCCAAGACTTACTGTAGGAGGAATACAAAAGGCTCCAACATCCACTAGAGGCCACTGTGGTGCTGCTGCTTTCAGTGGATTACTATAAAAGAAGCAGGCCAAGGCCATTTCATATAATCCTTTTATTCTTCAATAGGTTTTGCCACTTCTCCCAAAACTTCCTATCCTTGAAAATCCTTAGCAGAAACGTCCAGGAAGAGAGGACATTAGCTGGAGAAGGACTAGAAGGTGGAGATTCTTGCTGTGGGTGTAGCATGACTGTTCCACGGAATTTATGAATTAACTCCACAGGGTGCATCAGGAACATCATGGCCAGTGTGCATGACACACTGAGGGTACGAGCCACCAACACACGTGCAGATGACTGACTCAACACAACAAGAAGCATCTTGTAATCTTATGGCCTGTGATAGAGTGGGAATGCTAAAGAAGAAATCTAAGGGATTTTGCTGCATCCAGTAGCACGGCCAGACAAGGAACAGAAATGAGACTGCCAGATTACTCACAAGTTCAACTTTTGATCTTCAGTAAACAATAAACTGATGTTAAGAAGTGGGGTGAAAAGCAAGAGTTACCAGGGCAAAGGAGTGCCTCCATCTTTTCCCTACGCTTTACCATAAACAGCACAGCTAACAGAGTACAACTCCACCCACCTACTCAAACTTCTCTCTTTAATAAGATTTCCTGAAAAATTCAATAAAAGTTGCACTGAATGCTGTCGTTTAAGATTCCATACAGGTATGTGTGTCAACTCAAAACACACACATGGTCTTGGGAGGCATGGGTCAATGCCAATAGTTCTGAGTTTAGAGTGGCAAACTTTATTTCATCTGTATTTCCATTGGCTGACTCGAGAATGAAAAGCAGAAGGAAGTGGCCTTCTCATTCTCCCTCCACAGCTGCAAGTTTTCTTTTTTTTAAGAGCAAACTACAGGTGGACACAAAGCTCCACTTTCACAATTCTTGCAGCAATGGAACTGGTTTTCAGCTCCAAACTCACCATTTAGCTTAAGCATAGTATTATCATATATTTTCACATGTACATTCTATGGATGATGTGCAGAGATTTTACAAGTGAATTGATTATAAAAAGGGAAATCAAAAAAGTTCCTGCAAAATCAAGCAATTGCATTAGGCCTCTATAGTAGAAGGAAACATCCGCTTAAGAGCTTCTCACAAAGCAAGCAACTAGCATTTACTTCCTTGCTCTTTTTCTGGTTTATTTTGCATATTTAGCATGAAGACTTGAAGTAGCACAAATATTTGTCCAAATAATCAAAATGTCGTCTAAAATCAAAAAAGCTTATTCTGTGGTGAAGAGGTCAGTCTGGATTTTAAATGGTACAAAAACCTGGACAACATGACAATTTTTACAATTCTTTGTCTAGTTTTATGAGGAGCAGTTGCCATTCCCTTTTAATACTTTACATCTCTAATTTTCATGCTCATAAGCTTTAGTACGATGTCTTACAAAATACTTGTAGATCTGCTAATTTTATACTATTAAAACCTTCATTTTTTTAACTGCTCTGCTTGTGAAATGTGAACAAGGTGTGTTGTCATGGATACATGACTTAGGAAAGTGATAAAACTATCACAAAATCTGCATGCATAAATAACCTGAATTATAAATGCTTTTTTTCCCCTACACGATTTGCATGATTTTGCAAATGCAGCTGCACCACTTAGTTGATGATGTTAAAAGTTCAAAACACTTGCTTTATCTGAAAATCCTTCTTCTACAGTTGCTAATATAGTACAAGCTCATTTAAGTGCCCATGAAACAACATCAAAACTCACCTTCTGTATTCAGAAAGTTGTTTTTCTTTTTTCAAACATTTTTTTGCTTGTTTGCTTTTTAAGAGTCAAACTATGTATTACTCAGTGTGTATCCTTCAATGCAGCTAGACTTTCTTCTTCCTCCCGTACTGCTGAGAGACCCAAAGAAATATTTTTCTACCACTTCCTAGCTATTCAAAAGCCACTTCTACGTCAGACAGGACGAACCTTTAAACAGTCAGGACAAAATACAGGGGGGGTGGGCGGAAAAAAAACAAAACCAAACAGTTTCTACTTTGTGGAAGTAACACAGTTGGTATTAATCCAGACAGGAAGCACCTTTTGCTATGCACCCCAGGAAAGTTTTGACACTACTTTGCTGTTAAGAGCCTATTCTGACTCTCGCCTTGACCTGCACAGGCACCTGCTAAGTGATCGAGTTTAGACACTCTAAACAGCAAAGGCAAACAATTTCCTGAGCTACTGCTTTCATCAACAATGAACTTGGCTGCTTAAAGAAAAGACTTGGGAAAAGGACAGCAGAATTTCCAAAGGATGTCAAGGAAAGGAAAGAGAAATAGATAACGAACAAAACAATTTCTGTAAGGAAATATTTTTGGCCTTTAAAAAAGCCCTGCAAATTATGAAATAAAAAATGTTGTATTATAAATAGTAATATATTAATTGCAAGTAATTTTAAATTATAACAACGTAAACAAAATACAGGAGTATGTATTACTGAATATACAATACATAATTTATAATGTATTATATAAAACACATTATTTTAAATGTATTAAAATATGTAATGTAAATATTAAAAAATATATATGTAATATTTTTTGTAATATTTGACAGCCATATCATTCTCGGTCTTCCTCCATCTTGTGCACAGTTTGCACTTAGAAATGCACATCTGTTGATTAGAATCTAAGAATCTAGGTGTTAGCACCACACCAGATCAATTTGACTGCACTGAAAAAAATAACAGAAAAACATTTTTCAATTTATAAAATCTTTGTGGAGCGTGATGCATATTTTATTAATAATACTTTAATTATTTAAATAAGTGAAGAAAGGAAATGCTGAAGAGTCACAAGTTATTAAAAAATTAAAATAACAAAAAAAAAAAATAAAATGCTCCTTCCATTTAAAAATCAGCTGCTTCATGTAAAAGAGAAAACAGGACAGAAACTTGTTCTATTTTGCCTCATGAAATATTTTCATGAGTAAGGTAATTTATGGAAAACAAAGAAGTATCAAAAAACATTTATATGTGCTTTGCTGAAACAGAAAAATGAATTACATAACACATAAGCATAGAGAGGTTTTCTACATACCTAACTTTGGAGAAAGAGTATCTGCACGTCAAACGCTTTGAAATGTTTGGATTAGGTGACATAATTTTCCAAATATGCATATATAGCTGCTTTCCTAGGCACTTCATCTTGGTGTCTCCTACCTACTACTTAGTCCAAGTCACTTGGATTCCAAGAGCTGCTCTGAGTCCAAGAAACAGAAAACCTCATTAAATCCAGTGCAGTTTCACTCTTCCAAAGACACGGACTGCAGGTGCAGCTCTAAAAAGACTCTCTGGATCTAAACTCTTCTTAGAATCATAAAATATCTCAAGTTGGAAGGGACCCATAAGGATCACCAAGTCCAACTCACTGCTCCCCACAGAACTACCTAAAATTAAACCACATGACTAAGAGCATCGTCCAGATGCTCCTTGAACTCTGACAGGCTTGGTGCTGTGACCACCTCCCTGGGGAGCCTGTTCCAGTGACCCACCACCCTCTCAATGAAGAACCTTTTCCTAATGTCCAGTCTGAACTTCCCCTGGCACAACTTCATTCCATTTCCTTGTGTTCCTCTGCTTCTTCCCTTGAGGAACTTTTGACTGCAATGAGGTCACCCCTCACAGCCTTCTCTGCTCCAAGTTGAACAAACCAATGGACCTCAGCTGCTCCTCCTAAGTCTTGCTCTCGAGACCTTTCAGCATCTTGGTCACACTCCTCTGGCCACATTTTAGTAGTCTGATGTCCTTCTAATATTGAGGTGCCCAAAACTACACACAGTACTTGAGGTGCCGCACTAGTGCAGTGTAGAGTGAGACAATCACCTCCCTCAACCAGCTAGCTATGCTGTGCTTGATACACCCCAGGACATGGTTGTGCCTTCTGGATGCCAGGGCACACTGCTGACTCATATTCAACTTGCCATTAACCCAAATCCCCCAGATCTCTTTCCCAAAGTTTGCTCTCCAGTCTCTCATCCCCCAATTTGTACATATATTCAGGATTATCCTGTCCCAGGTGGAGAATCCAGCACTTGCTCTTGTTAAATTTCATACAGTTGGTGATTGTCCAGCTCTCTGGTCTATCCAGAGCTCTCTGTAAGGCCACTCGACCCTCAAAGGAGGCCACAGCTCCTCCTAATTTAGTGTTGGCAAACTTACTTAATGTACGTTTGATTTCTGTGCCCAGATTGTTTATAAAGCATTAAAGAGCACTAGCCCTAAAACTTACCCCTGGGGAATCCCACTAGTGACTGGCTGCCAGCTTGATGTTACCTCATTTACTGTAACTCTTCGAGCCCAACTCGTCAGTAAATTACCCACCCAGTGTATTATGGACTTGTCTAGCTGTATGCTGGACATTTTGTCCAGGATACTGTGAGAGACAGTGTCAAAAACTTTGACTAACATCTGAAAAAAACACATCTACTGGTTTCCCTTGGTCACCTAGATGGGTGACCTTGTCATAAAAAGAAATTAAGTAAGCTAAGCAGCACCTTCCCACATGAACCCATGCTGGCTATGACCAATAACTGCATTGTCTCTCAAAAGTTTTTCAGTAAACTCCCAGAATAATATTCTCCATAATTTTGCCAGGCACTGAAGTGAGACAGGCCTGTAATTACCAGGGTCTTCCTTCTTTCCCTTCTTGAAAACTGGGACAACTTTTGCCAGATTTCGGTCAACTAAGACCTCTCCAGACTCCCAAGACCATTGAAAAAAAATAGAGGGAAGTCCCGCTCTCAAAGTATCTTGAAGTTTTTGAGACACTTTCTGACCTCTTTGTTAAGCACCTGAGATCCTCCTCATTTGATTCTGAATGCCATGGATTTCTAAGCAGCTTGGAAGGTAGCATTAAAATCACGTAGAACTGCACCCGTACATGAATAGTAAGCTTTTTGATTCACTGAGTTTCAAAAATCTGTTCCAGAAGAACAGACCCTAAATCCTGCAATTTCTCCCCACTTCTACTCCTCATCTCTGAGAAAGGGTACAAACATGTTCAATGCCTACTTACTGAATGCCAAAACTTATGGGCATGAACCTCTTGTTCAGGTTCGGAAGAACTGGGATTACCAGCAATTTCCTGCTTTCCTTAGTGCCCTGCTCTGCAGTAAACCTCCATTTATGAAGACTGATAGGCACTTTACTTACGGGCACGTTGGGCTCCTAAGAAGTCACATGGGGGCTTCATGGCTATAGTGGTCACTAACACTGTGGTTTAGTTTTCATTGTGGTTTTACTTTACTACTGCACAGCACTTTTACAAAATACTTGTTTTGTTTATGCAGTTTACTTATAACTGTAAAACATATTAGCACAAATACCTTCATTAGCCTATTAATAAGACTACAGCTGACAAAATAATACTTTGCTACCTATTTCTTTTCACTGGTCCAGTCAAAAAAAAAATACACTTCATGAAGTTCTGCAATTTCAAAGTACAAGTTTTGAAGAATTTCTACAGTATTTGGTTACTTACATAAAAGCAGCCTAGTGCACTTCAGGAGCCACAGGGTGGGAAAGATAAAGGAAAGGGAACCCAGTATCAAAAATATCTAGAAGTTTCAATCTTCTAGATTTAAAGAAAAGTGGGACATTCAATCAAAGTTCCTTGACACAAAGCAAACTTTATCGATTTGGTTTTCTAAGATAATAGAAAAATAAGATATTCTTCAATTTAAAATGGCAAAATCTATGCCCCTTGATTTCTTTATTTCCAACTAAGCTTCTACAAAGTGGGAAAAAGCATACTTTTGTAAAATACTGAAAGGCTGAACTTTTACACACTGTGGGCATCCCAGCATACCTCCTGAATGGCTGTCATGACAACATGTTGAACCGATTCTTCCATCATCATTATGGTCTGGATGTACTCTGAAAATAAGAGCATTCTGAAATGTTACTGTTGAAACTCAAGCCACACAGAACATGAGGTCAGAGGCTGAAGCTGCATCCTTTCTACAAAACGATTAGGTGCCACAGATGACACTGAAATGCATAATCACCAGTCAAGTCCCATCCAACAAACTCAACAAGACTGTATCAGAAGTCTGTTCAGATATAGATCCAAGCTTATTGAAACTCTGCAACAATCAAAAGCAGTACAGCATTGTCATCCATTTTTTCTTCCCTTCTGGCATCTCCCACTTCTGAAATAACTGCTTATACTCCTTTTCTCACTTTGTTCCCAAACGATTCAAGCTATACAAGTATACTATCCATGCATAGGTTGTCCTCTTCCGTAAGTTTAACAATGATGTCCTGTTTTCCTGTAGCATCCTGTTGTCAAGGCATTTTCACATACATTCTTAGTTCTGTGCTGTATCACAAATAAGTCCCCTCCACTTTTTCATTCCTCGCCTATGCCAAGATGTGAGCTACGGAATAGGCAGCTTGTAAAATTATATAGTGGTTAGAATGACCAATTTCAATCAAGTCAAGGACTTTATGACTTGCTCAGTATTACATGGTTTGTAGTCAGATATGATCACTTTTACACACGACCTGTATTCTTTTAATGATTTGTCCAAGAGGAAATTGCTGGGAATTAGTGAACTCAAAGAGATTAATTATGTCATGCCGAGTCACACTCAAAGTATACAAAACTAGACTGTTCCAGTGTTTCAAACACATACACTTTCAATGTTCAGACTGAAAGAGTAAGAGAAACATAGGAATAAGATATACTTCACACTTGAGGATGCCAAATAGTCACCGAAAGGAAGAAGTATAATTTTACATAAAACAGAGAGGACAGGAGGCCTAATAAAACCGTTAGTGATGTACTCATGGAAGAAAATTACCTCTTTTTTAATTAATAGGATAGCCAGACTGTCTCCTGATTAAAGGAAGAATAAAAGTAATTTCTCCTTCTGAAATTAAAAGTGATTTAGACACCTAAGAAAACTGGATAGAAAAGCTAAGATTCACCATGCAAGAAGACGACAAAAGGTCTGAAGCCCTGGCTGCCATTTTGTCAGAAAGGAAAACAAAATGAGCTAAATCCGGAAGAGACAGGTATTTGATGCAACTTTAATGTCAATCCAGTTAACAGTTTTGTTTACCCACATCTGTATTTTATAAACATATTCCTATGCTTCCTGTTTTAAGTGTTAAGAATAAGTGTCTGTAGCTGCTTTGTTACCTCAAACTGGCTTGAGTTAAGTGTAATTTAAGGTAACTGGGTAACAATAAGACATCCTGCACCCAAGGCAAGTTTAGAGCATGAGATCTGGGACACTTCAACAAATGTCTCCGTTCATCACATCCTCTGTTGGATCTGCAGGAAAAACGAATGGGCCCATATTTTACCTATGCAGGTCAGATAGACAATTGGTGCCATGGGAGTCAAGAGAGGCACAAGTCTCTTTCAGTGACTGCTGAAGTGGGATTCAATCAGCTAGCAGATGCCTCAAGTGACATTTTGGATGCCCTTCAGGTATCATGCTCAGTCTTCAGCTGCTGGTCAGAAGGGCATGGCTGCCAACATTATTTTCTCCTATTTGTCAGCCCTGTGCAAAAGTCTCAGAAACTACAGTATCCTAAATCACACCAGACATATCTTCAGACCAACTCCCAGTCATACTGATGGCTCTCGGCCACGTAGCAAGATGCTGACTAGAACACATTCCTAAAACAAAGAGTCACACAGAATAGCGCAACAATCACATTTTTTGATTCTTAACTATCCCAATCTGCCTTAAATGGTTAAAGGGTGGTGCCAAAAATTTTTTCTAGAGTGCCTTTTCAGCTCAGCAAACAAAAATTGAAAATATGTATGTTGGAAGCTAAACCAGTTCCACAGTTTGAGACCCCAAAACTAGTGAAGCTTGTAACAAAACCACAGTTATTATCTGTAGGACCAAATAATGTCATCACTGAAAAAAAACCCACATCTGTGTCTGACATCAACTTGAGAAATATAATTTTTCCCCTAAGCAGTTACACAACAAGCTGGATTTTCATTCACTGCCTGAAAGAAAATGTGCTTTCAAAATTTAATACCTTGCTTCTGTTCACAATTCACAGCGCATCCCAAAATAAGCTGAAGCATTCTCCCAAGCTCCGCAGCATCAGCATGCTCTCCAATCAGGTTAACATCAGGAAGGATGAAGTCATTAATCTGTTGCCCTAGAATCTGCATAAAAACCCAGTACACACGTCTGTATCACTACACATATACGTACACACACGTTTCAAAATACAAAGATAGAATCATAGAATAAGATGATTCAGAATCAACAAAAGCAATTCACTTGAACTTTAACATAGTTTTAAATCCACCTTCAAAGCAAATTAAATTGCCTAGTACCTAATATCCAAATATGAAACCATACTGCTTGATACAAGTAATATCGGAAAGACAAACTTGACTGTCTCAACTAATAAGAAACTATTAGTTTCAAACTTATCTGAAAAAAAAATCTTGCTAAGAAAGGTAACAAAGGTAGGCTTCCACAGTGATCAACAGCACATGGATAATTAAATATTTTAAAGCATTCCATTAAAAAAATCTAACGCCTATAAACACCATATGTAGCATAAAATATCATACACAAATCTCTTATTTCTTCCCACTAAAAAGCCCGTTCACTTATACAATACATGTGTCTAGCACTGATGGATGACAAATAGAAAGAGAAAAAAAACCTCGATCTCTCAGCCTCACACTTTTAGAAAATTTAAGGGTATTTAGCAAGTCTCATAACTAAGAAAGCTAGCTTCATGGAAGAGAATTTGAGGCAGTAATACAATACATAATTAAACAGCCCACATGCAGAAAGAAAAAACCACAAAACAAAACATCCCATGTGACTTAAATTAATGGAATCTGATTTATAATTAAGAAGGATTTACATTAATGATTGTCAGTAGAAGGAATTAAACAATTCTGGTAAATTGTTCAGAAAGAGCTTTCAGGGGGCTGAAAATACGAATATGAAATATGGAATTAAACACACCTCTGACACATTAATTGCAGATAAAAAGAAACTGTCACTTCTTAAGTAGGGTGCAATAAAGAAACAATGACTATGGAGGGAAACAGTCATTTGTTTGCTGGATGCCCTTTTTTGTGTTAATACTCAAGAAAAACAGAAAATCAGGTGAAAGTATTTACCAAAAACATTTATTAGATATACATGAAGAATACACGGAAATCAAGCCATTCAAAAGTTTTCCAGGGTTGGGCTTTGTGGAATTGTTGTGGTTGAGTTTGTTCTATTTTGTATGGTGCTTTTTGTATTGTGGCTTTATTTTTTTTTTAAACAGCTTTATCAGAGAACAAGTATCAACACTGCTAAAAATCTCTCTATACTTTGAAGGACTCAGATTCATTCTTGTTGGAAAAGACTTCTTTAGGTCATTCTAGTGAGAAAGTAAGAATTCTATGAATGCATCAAGCATAATGGAAAATATTACCATAGTATATAGACTGTGATAATGTAGTAAAACACAATATTCTTTCAATTATACAACTCTGATATGTTTATATAGTGATCTGTAGTTCCTGAATTTCTTTCAAACGCAATGTCGGATTTAAGTTAATAATACTACAACTGCTTCACAGTTACTGATAATATAATTGCTGTTGAAGAAAGCTGAAGGGAAGAGGCATATCAACAGGCATTGTGAAGAAGCCAAGGATGCAAACGTGTACACAGAGGATTTAGAAATAAACATAAGATGCAATTCTAAATCAACAAAAAGAAATAAACTGAAAGAAATAAAAAAGGATAGACTTTGCAGTAAATACCTTGAGATGAAAAAGAGTGATTTTCCCCTCTTTTTTTAAATAAAAATATAAAATACCTTTGCAAAAAGATGAGAGTTTCAACTCTAGAGCAGCAGATTTCTGCAGCAAGATTACTGAGGCATAGAAAAGCATGCAAGCTATAAATAGGTAACTTTGGCTTCTTGTTCTTCCATACTGTAACTGACAAAGGCAAAAGCTATTGAACAACTGTCCTCCTGAATGTGATACAAATTTCTGAATTGTTGAAGATGAACAAGATTAGTACTTTTCAAAAGCTTTTAGCTACATCAGCTAAAATCCAGATACATTCACATTGATACTTTTGTAGAAGGTGACTGCTGTGAAAGGGAATGGGAATCAGGTTGAGGAAAAGAACCAGGATTCATAGTAGAATCCAGATAATTTTCATTATCACCACAAGCATTGCCTTAGTAGAAAAAAAAAGAAACCAAACCAAAATCCAGTCAAACTTACAAATGTGCATTAGCTTTGCAGAACTTAATCAGCTTGAAACAACTCAAAACTTGCTTAGAAGTAAACTTTTCACACCAGAAACTTAATCATCATACATAGCAACTATCTGAAAAGAAGCTGTCATCACTTTGTCACAGTAACATTTTTTTCTATAATAAAAAACTGATTTGTTTCTTTCTAGAATTGTCAATTATGACCAACTTGCTTAATTATCAATTTTCAAAACTTACTTCAACACAGATACCTGACCATTTACTGAATATGAGCTTATGAGTCTTTTTCTTTCTGAAAATCTGTTCATTTTTAAAGACTTAACCTTATTAACAAGTATCTTCCTCTCCAAAGTACTTATGAGAAGCTAATATTTTGAGACAAGCAATGTCCAGGACATACATAAGGATTTTGTGCTGCAGCCTGTACAAATCGATTTGACTCAAAACATCACTGAAACTAAAAGCATATTTCAGCTGAAGATTCACCACTGACAAAAAATACTAATTTCTTAGTTTGCTCCATAGTCTAAGAGAGAACAACAAGGGCAGACTTCAATATCCCAGGATTAAAAGATTTCATTGAAAATTGTAATGTGGAGAGAGACTAAAAATGCTCTTTTCTCTCTCTCCTCATGAGGAAAAAAAAAAAAAAAAACAAACACAGCTACTGCTACAGTCCATCATTAGAACATATTCAGCAAAGATACCTTCTGTTTGTCTGACAGAATTTGTATATCGGATTCCTCTGGAAGTTCTGAGAATTCAATAAAGCAGCTGAGACATTTTAGAGAAGCTTTACACCTGAGAATAGGCCATGAAACACTCTGTATGCCAAATACTTTGAAAGAAAAAGTCTGAACTTCATCAGCAGAATACAGTTTACATTAAGCATGTTGACTAAAATATGTAACAAAAAAGGAATGTAGATGTAGATTTCTTAAAATAGTTCTTACCTCATGGTTGTAATCCAATATTCCTTTTAAAATTTTCTTCAGGTTGCTTACCTATTTGACAAGAAGAAGGAGGAAATAAGAAATTTACGGGGAATAAATTACAGAGAAATGATCATAAAGCAAGCAACCACAGAAGAATCACACAAAAGAATCACACAATTACATCTACTTGCACAATTAGACTTTCTGTTTGAGCAGTTTAGTTTAGAATCATGAAAGTTATGCAACTGTGCCTTATGATCAGACGTCCAGACCTGATCACAAATCTTTTTAATTGACAGAACCCAATTAAATTTGAGAAAAATATTGCATTGTCTTGGATAGGCTTTCAATAAGACTATAAAGTATGAATCTCTTTTGGAGTACTTGTTTATTTTAGGATTATTTTTGTATCCAGAAGTTGAAACATTCTTTTTCTCCTTTCTTCTCTTAAAGTATCCTAGTATCTACAGTCTGCAGTGATAAACCTCTTCTTCCAATTCAAACCAGCTACTGCCCAATACCCTACTTTACTCCCAACCTATGTAAGCCTAATTTATTAACTTTCTCATTAATTATTCCTCTTAGTTCTTTCATTTTTGTCCATTTTCCCCTCAGTTCTTTATAATTGAATGTCTTGTCTTACAGTATCAAGGCAAAATTCACATTTCCCAGTGATGCCTTAACTGCCACACAGAGAGAGCTTCTGTTCATTTGCATAACAAATGGCATCAGTTGCCTCCTGCTGTATAGAATCTATGTCACACTTCTCTAGTATTGAGTACTGCTCCCTTTCCGGCAAAAATCCATTTACATCAAGCAATCTGAGATAATGCATGCATTTAAAAATTACAAAAATGCCAAAAGGACGTCATAGGTGATATCTAGGAAAAAAGAAATGTTTGCTGAAAGTAACAGTTACAGATTACCCCCAATTAACGTCCATGTATTTAAGCAAGGAATTTAGATAATAGTAACAGTGCACTGTCTCCTGTGACAGAGAAGCACCTGAGGGAAGTGGAGCTTTTCAGTCTGGAGAAAAGGAGGCTCAGGGGAGACCTTATCGCTCCCTACAACTACCTGAAAGGAGGTTATGGTGAGACAGGTGTTGGTCTCCAAGTACCAAACAACAGGACAAAAGGAAACAGCCTCAAGTTGTGCCAGGGGAGGTTTAGATTGAATATTAGGAAAAATTTCTTCACCAAAAGGGTCGTCCAGCTACAACAGTAGCCACAAAGGCAAACCATGGAACTATAATAAAATGAGAGCAAGAACTCTCAAATCCCAACTGCCTTTAAAACCCACAATAACTTCTACGTTCTTGATTACATTCCAAAAATATCCAGCTAGGTTACTTCTGTTAGCGGACAGAATCTCCTATCTACCAAAAGATCTGAGGAAACACTACAGAAAACAGTTAGGAAACATGATACTGAAATCCAGGGACAAACTCAACACTTCAGAGTCAACAGACAAAATGAGGTGATGAAAGCAAAATCCATGCTCTTTTCTAAGAGAAACTCAAGAAATGAACAGGCTACACACACACACTAGAAGATTCAGCCATGAAATCCTAAGCGGTTACCATCTGATTACCTTATTTCAACTAGTCCACTCCCTTCTGGAAACAAATGGCAAAAGCTGATCACTTATTAAGATATAAGAACATCCTGATTGTCTTCATAATCACTGAACTTCAAGTCATACAAGAAAGAAAAATTCACTTGGACTTGCAAAGTGACACATGAAATAATCTGACAACATAGAACATGAACTGGAGATGCTACATGATAGCAAGTATATAACAACATTTACTGTCCCTCCCATAACAGCATAATGATTAGTTTACTTCCAAGTTTACACATTCTACTCCCAAATACATACTATTTCTGTAATATTACACATAACACATAATGTTTCCTTAAGAACTACAACTATCTTCTAGCTGTCTGTCCAAAAGCAATCACCACCATCTCCCAAAGGCTATGCACAATCATAACCAAAGTCTGCAACAGATTTAAGAATTTAAAGAAATGTAAATAATTTGATTTTGATGTTAGATCACCACAAAGAATACTGCACTGATTGGAATACAATTTTCAAACTTAATTCACTAAAATCTTCCAGTTTGTAATTTACCTGAGTCTGCTGCAGAAAGTGCCACAAACGCAAAGGTCATGTTGCAGAATTTAAGTCCAGTTTACCGATGAGAACATTGTGAGGAACCTTGAACTTGAACATAATCCCAAAAAAATGAGAAACAAAATGGAAAGTACCCATCTACTAAATATCTCTTTTCCCCTTTCCTTGTAAGCATTGTTGGAATTAAAATTCCTTAAACACAAAGAGTAATCTTCCTCCATATAACTTTCATAGAGCTTAGAGTTGAGAAGCTGGAACAAACCAGTATTGATCAAAATCTGTCATCAAAACTAACATATAGGGCAGCATCCTCAGAAAAGAAAACTGCAAGCAAACTGCCAGTGGCAGAGAACCATCATGGGAAACTATCACAAATGTTTTCTATTTTGAGATGTAACTCAGTAGCTCCCGTAACATTTACCAGGTCATAGCATAAGTTCTTAAAAGGAATATTTCAAACAGAGATGAATGAAAATGAAAAACAGTACAAGAAAGTGTTAAAGACAACTAATTACGCCAGAATTCTAAATCACAGCAGGTGATGGTTGTTCAGAATTTTCTCTTTTTCTTCAGCACATGGAGAAAACCCGACTACAACTAGTTAACAATTACCATTAAATCATGCAATGATAGAACACAACAGATAGAATTTCGAGTATCAATTGTGACTATAATGCACTGTATCATCCTTTGGAGATCAGCCCATGATCACATGGGACACTCATTTGCTTGTATCAGCAACCTGACTTCCTTCTTTTCCATACAAAGCGTATACACTATGCTCCCAGCCCCCTTCACATCCATTCCCCGCACCCATACCTCTGTTAGAAAAGACATGAAACTTACCGGGGCAGAAGAGGGGCGGGGGGAGGGGAGTGATTCCTATGCTTTATTCCACTTCAAAAGCTGTTACAGCTCACAACAGATGGGTTAATTATTTCTAGATGGATGTCTATTAATTTTCAATCTCTTTTCCACCTGCCATTTCCTGTTTTATTTCCCCAAACTCACATTACCAAGGAGAGGACATCCACTTTGAACTAATGCGCCCACAAAGGCAACCTGCCTTTGTGGGCGCATCATTCATTCTTTGAACACTTAAGTACCCACAGCAGAGCTGTGAGGATGTTCCTTATGTTAAACGATCATTACCCCCCCAGTGTACAGCCATCTTGGCTGTAGTATAGCACTACGTAGTTAGTACACACTGTTCAGTATGAGACTGACCCTCATTACACAGCATTAACCTCATAAACTAACTAGAACAAAAGCAGAGGTGATGCGCCCTGGATACTGAAGGCAACACATCATATGGCAACACCATATGACTTAATGTTTGTGAGGTTTTTTTCTCCATTTCAACCCCCCTCCTCACCTGACGTATGAAATGTTTTTATTTAATTACAATTTACTCCTGGTTCCACACTGTGGGTCTGTAAGGGCAGTCTGTCTAGAGCTCTCTCCTTACAAATATACTTCAACAACAAAAGCAAAGCCTGAAATCGATAGTAGAAATGCCCTTAAGCTTGTGATTACTGACAAAAAAGGAGCATGGGTGATCTAACCTCTTGTTTTCTCTCTAACGTTATGACAGCTGGTCCCCAGTTTTGCATTTATCCTTATATCACATGTATGACTGAAATTCTGTGTGTGCTGAAGACTGTATAAATTGACTTATCCTTGCACATTTCATGTCCCAAAGTATCTGAATGGGAGCCCCAATGTCCTGAAATGCTGATCAACAGTATCTTTCCTGGGTAATTATGCACAGACCTATTTCTCTTCACACAGGTTATAATTAAGAACCTTGTATCCTCCAGAAGTGTTGCTAGGGCACACTTGCAAGCGGTGACAGATTCTTAATCAGTTTCAGATATCTCATTAAGGTACATATTTTTCCCAGCTGCACTTAAGGGGGGTGTTGGGAAGGAGAGTGTGCATGCATTGTTCCCACCACATTCATTATGTTTCTGCCCTAAATCGCATTCTGCAGGAGCCTGTCTCTTCACTGATTATAAATGGAGCCTAGAGAGAGTCTATACCACAAGCTTTGGGGATTATCTCCCTCCAGTCTGTCTTCTGCAAAAAGAAATCCCAAAAAGAACAGATATAGACACTTCCTTGAGTTAAATGACAAGGAAAAAAAAAAATAAAAATTGAATGTGGCTCTGAACACAGTGAGCATTCCCACATTAAACTTATGTTTGGAGACACTGTTGACTTAGAAATTAAGAGTATATCATAACAGAATTAAACATATCAGTGGCTAATGATTTTTTTGACAGAAATTAATGCTGGCTTACAATATGCCTATAATCTCTGCTTCTTGCTTGCAGAAAAATATTCAGATGACAGGCTTCCACACTTAGAAAAAAAACCTCTACAAGTTTGCTCATGATTAAGTGCTCCCTTCTCTTGCCAAGGAACAAGAAAGCAGCAGAAAGATGATACTGTAAACAGAAAACTAGCTTCCATTACTCCACCAGTCAACCCAGCTAGTACCGTGTAAGAATTCAGAGCAAACATAATTGTTCTACTGCAAGGAGCCAAAATTAATTCTCAAAAATCAGGTTTGTTTCCTTAGATTACAGCACTAAGCAATCTGTACTCTAATTGCATTGCTTATTCCATTTTGCAATACTGTATCAAACACAAGGCATTCAAACTGTACTAGTTGCAGAAAGTCTAGTGGCTCCTATTGTTTGAATCTGCTATTCAGGAATGGAACAAACACAGCTTGCTAGTATAAACATAGATAAAATAGTACTTTAAACTGATGCTGTAGTCCGAATGCCAAAGCGAAAAATCCAGAAGAGAAAGTCAGAAATCAACCTAAATGATGCATGTCCTTCCTTTCCCAAGCTAGATAAAACCACACTGAATGGAAGAGGAAAAAAAAAAAAAAGGGTGTCAGTTTTATCCCTAAAAAAGGGTGTCGGTTTTATCCCATCCCCCAGATAGTCAACAACTTATTCTGTAATTGTCAAAATTGATGTGTGTGTATCAAATCATTAACTGTTTAAACTTCTGTTCAGTTACTGGTGTTCCTGTAGGACTTGACATTGAACTATTCTTGTTTCTTGATCAGGGAATTTCATTCCTGCAAAATTTCTGCAACAGAATTTTCTATGCCTTTTTCAATAAAAGTCTTTTTATCTTCAAAATGTCTTCTTCAACATGAAATACTAGTGTGAACATAGTTTGAACTGTGACTGTATTAAAGTGTTCAGTTGCATATCAGGAAAGACGTATGTCTTCACTTGGTTTTAGGTTTTTCTTGTTTGTTTTTTTGTGTGAGTGCTTCAGTGTAGGTTTTGTGCGTGTGTGTGTGAGAGAGAGAGAGAGAGAGAGAGAGAGAGAGAGAGAGAGAGAGAGAGAGAGAGAGAGAGAGAGAGAGAGAGAGAGAGAGAGAGAGAGAGAGAAAGAGAGGGAGAGAGAGAGAGAGAGAGAGAGAGAGAGAGAGTGTGTGCGTGTGTGTGTTCTTGTTTCTGTTTTTCATCACAACATAAAATTGCAGTTAAGGCAGCAGTGAGAAGTAGGGCTTTTTGTTGCCCAAGTTAAAACACAAGCTGCTACATGCTATGCCCAGAAATTTTAACCCCGAAGAAGTAATAACATGTTTCTCTGCTAAGCACAGTAGACAAAGATCCAGTCAGCTGTAACACACAGAATGCTTGGTGAATGCTTCCTACTTGGCAAGTCCCTCCACTTCTAACATATCCCTTTTTCCTTCCTGTGCACTGCTCAGTCTCTCAAGTCACACAACCTGTTCTGAAACCAAGAATATAACAACATCTGTGAATTTATAAATTTGTTTTAAACTGGTACAGCAACAGGAAAAATATTTTTAATAGGACTGCATTCTTGCAGTTATCAGAAAGTGAACTGCTGAACAAAGAAATAATGAAAGCTGAGTCATATATTCTTGTTTATTCCCCATACAGGATAGCATCCAATTCAAAGCTAACGATTGCAAGATTTTCTGAGTATCTCTTTCAACAGTGGTTAGGAGGGCTACACCAGGCCTACACTAACCTTTATCAGGCCCTCCTAACCACTGTTCAACAAAGTAGAACTACTGCACGTTACATTTTGGGGGTTTTTTAGCTTTTTTCCTCAACTAGACCGGCTGCTTTATGTGGTTCATAATATCAAGAGCTTGTACAAGTGGTGACTATTACATCATATGATATTGGAGGCAAAGAGCAACCATGTTTAGCAACAAGAATGTAATTCAGCTCCTTATCATGACTTGTGAGGTAGTGAGATAACCTAAATATAATTTCTCACAGTGATTCTTAAAATATGAAGAGAAATATACATCGAGACAAGCAGAAGTATGTTGCCTACATTTTAAATCTAGTGACAAACCAATCAAAGTGCACAGATTGAAAATATTCCTACAAGCCAGACTAAGTGACAGATTGACTGACAGACACTTGAAAAACTAGATTACTAATCGTGTTTACTCACATATATAGAAGAACAACACTTGGCAAAACATAAGATTACTTTCCTGGTTACAAAATAAGAGCCAAAATATCACATTTGTGCCTTTTAATATTCCTCATGAAAAGGGAAGTGGTATATAAAAAAACGTATACAGAAAGCTAGAATATACATCTTTTAAATAATAAAAAAAAAAAATCAGTCTTTAGTTCTTATTTACATGGATACATGAAAAATAAGAAGGAATGACATCATCAGGAAACTGAAATACGACCTGATGTTTTTCCTACCTCAATTACATAAGGAAGTTACTAGATTGCTCAGCCTTTTTTTTTTTTTAATTCACGCCTGCTAAGCTTTAATATCTGCCAAACTGGTGGGAGACAAAAAAATGTATTCCTCAGGCTCCACATGAGAGTTACAGAAGCTGCTGCTCTGCTTTCAATCAGCTGAGATGCTGTTATATCAAACAGTTCTCAATTTATTGGTCTCCAAATTTAACAGTCAAGACTTCAATATTCCTTAGGAAAAAGCCACAGAAATATTTTAGATAAAAATAAAATCTTGTATCCAGATCTTCACTTGCAATTGCATATGCTGCTTTGAAAAGTTCATTTAAATCAACTGCTCTACAAGCAGCAGAAAAACCAAAGATTTTTTAGCGATTACATCTTTTATTCATCTGCCAGTCAACATATCTTCATCAATGTATCCACATTTTTGCTTGCAGCCCAGGTAGACAAAACATTCTAAAGCAGCCCGGACTTGCACACAGCTGGCCAGGCAGCAGAGACCACACTGACTGGTCTGCTGGTCAAGTCAAAACAGAGCAGCACCAGTATGTTCCATCTTTGTCTCCAGCACAACTTATCTGTATGTCTTTTCTATTCAGCCAGTGATGTTGACAAGCCTGTGAGGACTAGAGCATTTCACAGTTGTAGCCCTTCCCTAGATGCTCAAAAGGGTTTTTAGTGGCTGGAAGAAAATGGTTTTATAGATAACATGAACTAGCAGACAAGTCATCACTGCTTTGTTTCCCCAAGTAGTCAGGCTGGAAATGGCAATTTAGAAAGCTACATACATCATTCTCTGAACAAAATCGGTCAAAAATTACACTAACATCTGCATGTGAAACTATTCCTCATGCTCCTCAGCTGTACCACTGTAAATCCTATTGCCTTAAGGTTTGCAGAGAAAGTACTAGAATGCCAAGTGATAAAAATGACCCAGCAAACAGACTGTGGTTAAAACACACGCAGAGTACAAACAACACAGAAAAAAACCCACAACTTCCTCTCCTAAAGCTCAGTAGTTGTGCAGAGCTGACAAAGTAAAAGGAAACAATACTTTGCCATTTTTACTTAAATAAATTGCTTATTATTCTTCTATTTTTATGCAGCTGCTTCTCAGAGTGCTTTTTTTTAATGCTGCTTTCACACTTTGCATTTAAAAAATCTTTCAACATTTGAAAAACAAAGAGGCAATTGATGCATAAAATTTATTTTAATATTTTCCTTTTAAATTTTTGAAACCTATTTACAAATTCAAAATGTCTTTTGTTTGCTAAAATGTGCAGGACTATAACAACAGAAAAAATAAGTGTAATTAAAATGGTCTAAAATTCAAAATGCTGTATTATAAAGCAAGGTCTTAATCTAGAAGTGTGCTAATATTTAGATACAATATTGTATTAAGAACTGAAATACAAATTCACAGACAAACAAAGTCAGTCAAATACCTTTAGCCTCCAATTATCTCCTACTTCTGTTTTGATCCTGTTCAGCCAATTTTCATCAAAGTAAGCTGGATCTCTGAAACACAAAAAATGTAGAGTATTCATTAAAAACAGGTTACAGAAACTATGAGGATACCTTAGTGATTAAGCCCTTGTCTCAGGCAGAGGTTATTTAAATTACTATCTCTGTACCTGACACATGACCTGCATACAGTAGTTCAGAATCCTGTTACAACGCGCTTTTCTAAGGCCTTGCACCCTGTTGACAGCACAGCTTCCTTTGTGTGCCATGAGTAGCTAATACTTTTGAGGAAGCTGCTGTACTTGGAATGCATTTTGCTAGTTTTTCCCTCTGTAAGTTGTTCTTCCTCTAATTTAACAGCTAGTGCTGCAGCAATTATTTGCTTACATTACTTGAAAGTGTTACAAAATTACTTTTCCACATATTATGGATTCTTACTACTACACACTGCTTACAACTATTCAACTTCTAAATGGGAAGCTTGAGACTGAACAATATATATGTTGTTTTCATATAGTTAAAAAATATCACTGAAGTAAAGTATTTACTACTGAGAACGCACTTCACTATTACTTCATCTACCAAACTATTAGCTTTCGCAAATCTCTTTTCACGGTAATCCTAAGCAAATCTTAGAAAAACATCTAAGGAAAGGTGTCCACATCTTCTGCACTTTTGATGAGTCAATCGAGACAAAGAACTGAACACATTCACTGCTTGACAACTATACATTTCTATTTCTATAAACTTCTTCCCTCTCTTTCTTCTTCTCTCAAGCATCTCCAAGACAACTCCCAAGACTCAGTTGCCCCCAAGTTCATCTAAAAGGCTAACATTTTCTACTGTTCACTTAAGTAAAATTTTCCTTAAGTCAAATTTACCTTACATCATAAAAAAATTTTGAAAACGCTATGATCAGAACCAAGGAGAGAGAATGCACTAGAAATAACTGGTTTTAAAGGAGAGGGTCAACATAATATCAGGAAAGGCTCATTTCATCCAACATATAACATTAATATAGTCAGGGAGGAAAAAAAAAATCTCACTTTTTTTTGTAAGAATAAGGTTCTTTAGAGTCAGTGTAGTAGGCCAGGTTACAGTTTCACGTGAAGTATTCTAATTTCTGGGCTTATTCTAATTTCTGCTGCATTTGCCACCAAGTACTATCAGATTTTCTGCTGTATCCTCTAAAGACAGACAGGTTCTGGACTGAGCTCTTTTTTTAAGAGCAAGATGCCATAAGATTTCTTGGCAAAAGCTCAAACAACTATGAATGTGTCTGGAGATATCTTTGGGCAGTCTTGGCTCACTGGGGAAGTTCCGCTGGACTGGAGGCTGGCGGATGTTACCCCCATTTACAAAAAAGGGCGGAAGGAGGATCCGGGGAACTACAGGCCTGTCAGTCTGACCTCGGTGATGGGCAAAGTCATGGAACAGGTTATCTTGAGCGCTAGTAATGAGCACATACAGGTTAACCAGGTGATCAGGCCCAGTCAACATGGGTTTATGAAAGGCAGGTCTTGCCAATCAAACCTGATCACCTTCTATGTCGGGGTGACCTGCCTGGTTGAGGAGGGAAGGGCTGTGGATGTAGCCCTTGACCTCAGTAAAGCCTTTGATACAGTTTCTCATAGTGTTCTGGTTGAGAAACTGATAACTGCTGGCCTGGATAGGCACACCCTCCTTTGGGTTAAAAACTGGCTGGATGGCCGGGCCCAAAGAGTGGTGGTAAATGGGGCCAAATCCGGCTGGAGGCCGGTCACCAGTGGGGTTCCCCAGGGCTCAGTGCTGGGTCCAGTTCTGTTTAACATCTTTATCAATGACCTGGATGATGGAATTGAATGTACCCTCAGTAAGTTTGCGGACGACACCAAGTTGGGAGGCTGTGTCGACCCGCTCGAGGGTAGGGAGGCCCTTCAGAGGGATTTGAACAGACTGGATCGTTGGGCTGAGGCCAATGGCATGAGCTTTAATAAGGCCAAGTGCAGAGTCCTTCACTTGGGGTATAAAAACCCCAAGCATCACTATAGGCTCGGGGAAGAGTGGCTGGAGAGCTGCCTGGCAGAGAAGGACCTGGGGGTCTTTGTTGACTACCGGCTTGATATGAGCCAGCAGTGTGCCCAGGTGGCCAAAAAGGCCAATGGGATACTGGCGTGTATCAAGAATAGTGTGACCAGCAGGAGCAGGGAAGTGATCCTGCCCCTGTACTCGGCACTGGTGAGGCCGCACCTGGAATATTGTGTCCAGTTTTGGGCCCCTCGCTTTAAGAGAGATATTGAGCTCCTGGAGCGAGTCCAAAGAAGGGCGACTAAACCGGTGAAGGGGCTGGAAAATAAAACTTATGAAGAGAGGCTGAGGGAGTTGGGGCTGTTTAGCCTGGAGAAGAGGAGGCTGAGGGGAGACCTGATTACGGCCTATAAATACTTGAGAAAAGATGGTGGGGAGGTAGGGGAAGGGCTCTTTACATTAGTGACGGGTGATAGAACAAGAGGAAATGGGCATAAGCTTAGTCAGGGGAGATTCAGGTTGGATGTTAGAAAGTATTTCTTCTCTGAAAGGGTTGTCAGCCACTGTAATAGGCTGCCCAGGGAGGTGGTTGAGTCCCCATCCCTGGATGTGTTTAAGAAAAGGGTGGATGACCTGCTTAGGGATATGGTTTAATGGGGGATTAGGGACGGCTGGACTGGATGATCTCTAAGGTCTTTTCCAACCTAGAAATCTATGAATCTATGACATCTATTTCACATATGATGTAAAGCAGCAATTACTTCAGTACTTATAATAGGGCACAGACTTTGTAGCCACACTTTTTACCTGATGCACAGTATCTCCTGTACTCCATATTCCCCACAATGTCTTTTTCACAATGCATCAAGGACTGCAAGCAGCCCGTGACAACACACAGCAATGGAGAGAGATCACAAACAGCAATGTTTCTCTACTGACACATTCCAATTGCCTTTTTTTTTTTTTTTTTTTTTTTTTACACACTCTGTTATAGACTCTGGTGAAGATTATGGCATATTTCCTTTTCTCTGACATGGTATCCGCAAACATATAGCTGGAAGAGCAGCTTTAATTACTAGTTAAGTTGATGACTCCAAATTACTCCCATTCAAAAACAGTACAGTTCTAGCAAAGATGACAGAATCTTAAACTATGAAACAGAAAAAGCAATGTCTTATCCAGAGTTTCACCTGGTTTTGAAACAGATGTTTTTAAATAGCTGTCAAATGGCCTCTCTGCCCTCAGAAGATAGGTAAACCTGACAATGAAATTGATTTGAACACATACAAGACCTACTAGAGACAGGGCGGCTCAGCTTTTACATGAAACAAATGACTCTCCTTGCACGAAGTGTTAATTTGCCTAACTTCCACTCAATCACAACAGTGTCACCTGGAAAGTAAAGAAAAAAAATGAGAGTTCAAACCCGATGTACCCCCACTTGATTCCATTTGAGGTGTGGAGTTCAAAAAGCACCTTAATGTCCTTCAGATGGCTCTCTGGGAATCGCCAACAGTCAAGTGAACCTTGCTTACAACACACAACTACAACGTGTTTATGCAGCTGAGTGAGAGAGCAGGTGTGCCTGACTACCTGTGCTTCAACTGCAAAAAAGATCAACGGAACTTTCTTAAGGACTATGTCTTATCATTTTAAGGATTGCACTTGGTCAATAACATCTTCAGGTGCTTCAAGGCTGCAGTATCATGAACATACCACTTGTTGACTTACCATTTCCACTGTAAATAATGACTCTAAGAAGCAACATGGATAAGCATTAAGCAACTGCCCACAAGCAGAATTTTATTGGACCGACTGGATGGCTAATATTGCATACCCCAATTTTCAACAATAAGGGCATCAGCTGAGTAAGAGTAACAAGATTCCAGAATCAGCTGCAACTTATCCCACTCTGGAAGCCTGCACTTCCATAGCAACTAACCAGCTTTTCTCAGCTAGTACTGCAATAAAAGTAACACATGGACCAGTAACTGGCCTTCACTGTCTTGATAGAAGTCTTGGGCTACCTACACCTTTATATATGTCATTAGACATACACAAGGAAGGTCCCTGAGAATTAAATCTAAATTCAGTGTGGTTGTCCTCTCCCACAGATCCTATTTGTTTTTTCTTTTTAAGTATACAAACTTCATGGAAGCATCCAAGGGTCCACCAGCTGATAAGCAATCCACTTTAAATCATCAACAAATAACAGTGGTCAGAATAGTACCAGGAATTCTCTTTACAGCGCCTTCATGCAGTTGACACAATAATTAGTAGCATATTGCAAAAACACTTTGCCAGGAATACAACAAGCAGAAAAGCAACACGTTGGGTATTGACACCAAGCAAATCTAGAATGATCATCCTCTCCTCATCCATAAATCACCTCTGAGTCATTCCGAGTGTGCCGTTACAATTTCGTTTCTGTCACTGAAAGTCTGATAAAGATTCAGAATTAATACTAACAGCAATGCTTTCTCTATATATCAAACTAATGGAAATCAAATCCGAAATAAAAAAAACCCTCTCTATCAGAATTTCTAGGAATACTTTTAAAAAGCAGCTTCCAGACATTAGGTCATTTACAGCCTTTGCTGCAGACAAGTCTCCTTCTGCTGAATCTTTGGGAGTCATGATTCAATTATGTTCAGTTCTTTAACTCACTTAGTCCATGTCATTAAGGAAGATGCTGTCATTTCTTACAGCATTTGCAAAAGCGTCACCTAAGTAAATATCAAATGTGATTACAAAATATCAGCTGTGATTACAAAACCTACCAGCTCATTTTGAAGAGGTACTGCACTAAAAAAGGTCAGCAAAAAACTGACTGGAGCATCATCATTACCATGAGATGACTTGTTTGAACTAAGCATTTTGAATTCTCTTGCTCTGGACAGCTTTCCAAGTTTATAAAGGTATTTGTGTATGAGTTGATTGCTGCCTAGTATCTGAAAAGTACTGCAGATAACTGGGACTTTTCTTCAGAGAACAAGACACTTAAGCTGTTGTTAATGCTCTATCACTTCATGTGATGTTGTTTTCAG